TAAGTAAACCTGATACAGTCAATGGCAAACATGGACCTGTGACTCAGGATTGCTTACTGTCATCCCTGACTTTATCTGTGTTCACAGTGCGAGAAGTGAGGACTACTGGCAGGTGGTCAGAATGATTCTCTCTGGTGGCAGTGCCCTGGGTTGTAGGGCGTTTCCAATCTCCGGCCCTGCCCACTAAATGCCAGTGGTTTCCTCCACCCATCAGCTGAAAATTAAAAATGTCCCCACATATTTATGAACACCTTTAGCAGACATAACTGCCTACAGTGGAGAAGAATTACATTGTGAACATTTATTGTTATTTCTATATTTCACTGTTTCTATAATTTTTGTCATTACTGCTCCATCATAGGCTTGAGTCAACCACCCTGTGGTTGGAATCTGAGTAGTATTAAAAAGGCAATACTCTTCTAAAAACACTTCAAAGACACTGATCTGTACACATAAACTCTTTCCTCAAGATTAGAAATACTATGGATCCTTTTTTTTACTATTTTTAGGAAAAGCAAGAATTATATGGTTTGTTTTTAAAAAGTAATATGTATTTTACTTGGTGACAATAACATCAGAAGAATGTATATTAAAAAATTCCCAGCCCTGGCTGGCGTAGCTCAGTGGATTGAGCGTGGGCTGGGAACCAAAGTGTCCCAGGTTCGATTCCCAGCCAGGGTAAATTCCTGGGTTGCAGGCCATAACCCCCAGCAACCGCACATTGATGTTTCTCTCTCTCTCTCTCTCTCTCTCTCTCTCTCTCTCTCTCTCTCTCTCTCTCTCTCTCTCTCTCTCTCTCCCCCCTCCCTTCCCTCTCTCTAAAAATAAATAAATAAATAAACAAAATCTTAAAAAAAAAATTCCCTTGACCTATTGCCATACCAGTTTTTGTTCTTATATGGCAATTCATTTACAATTTATGTACTCTTTAAAATTTTTTTTAAATGTTAAGACTAAAGGAATTAATCTGGGTTCATATATCAGGCCAGTCTGTCAACATACTTATTTTGTATGCAAATCTTTATTTTTTTTGCTTGTAATTTTATGTACTTGGTGAATAATACATTCTATCAACATGACTGTTAAGGAACTATTAAGATGCCTCTTTACACCTTTGGCAAAATGAAACAAAATTCTGACTAGCAACAGACACCTTTTCTAAGCTCTGATCTCATTGAAGTCAGAGAGAAGGATGTGATCTTACCAATCATACCCTGGAATTCCTTTGAGGGCTCATATCAGATCCAATCATCCTAGAAATTCTGACAGATCAAGAACATAGGCAATGGGGCAGTTTTAAGGAAAATCTAAAACATCTTCTAGGTAAAATCATAAAATAGTCTATATCAAGAAAGGTGACAAGTATATATTATAGATTTGCAGGTTCTATTTGCTTCTGTAAATTAGCATTATTATATATACCTTACTTATAATAACAAAGTTTAATGTTTAGTACGCTATTTATAAACTCCAGCTGTGGGATGTCACCATGGTAACAGGAATATATAAAAAACTCAGTCATGTATGACATGATGGTAGCATTACTAATTTAAAGAAGAAAATATGCTTAAGCTAGGTAGAAAGATTCCACGATATAGTCATCAACCTGTTCATAAAAGTAGAGAAAGATGAGTATTTTAAAAAGCAGATAAAAAATTGAAATCATTCTGCTGGACAAGGACTGATAGTCACTCTTGGAGTTGAGAAAATGAAATGATTTTAAAATGAATAAATAAATTAAACTAAACAAGCATAAGAGAGACAGATTCAGGTATAACAGGATGACAGACAGCTAAGGGAAGGAAAGTAGGGTGTGGAAGGATTGAGCAAAAAGGAAAAAGGACTCATGGACATGGACAACAGTGTGGTGATTATGGGGTAGGGTAGGAGGGTATAAGAAGACTAAATGGCAAAAGAAAAAATACGATTAAAAAGGGTGAAAAATAAAAAAATTAAATGAATGAGGCAAAAAGAATGATTTAAAAAACATAAAGGAGGTACCCTGGCCAAGTAGCTCAGTTGGTTAGAGTGTCGTCCCATTACACCAAGGTTGTGGGTTTTGAGTTCCCATCAAGGCACATACAAGAGTCAACTAATGAACACAGTGGAACATGTTTCTCTCTCTCTCCCTCTCAAATCAATTTTTTTAAAAAAAGAACCCTAGAGGAGGAAAATTCCAGAGGAGCTATTATGTCAAAATGACCATGTGATAGTTGTTTATAAACTCAGCTACAAGACAGAACTAATAAAAGCTATAATTTGATGTATTGTACATATATATTTAGTCTTCAGATTGGAAGACAAAAAGAAGCATAACATTGGGTCACTGTCCCAAAAGACCATGTAAGCATGCATGTGCATTCATTATTTCACTTAATAGATAACACTGAGTGTGTTTAGGTGCCAGGAACACAAAGGTAGACAAGAAGCTGACCCTAGGCTTAAGAATTAATAGTCTAATAGAGAAGACAGTCCTCTAATAATCTAGTATAACTACTGAAGTAGAAGTACATATTGAGTGTTCTAAGAACATAATGTCACAGCAATATTTTTGCTAGTTATTCAGAAAGAACTGATGTTTATATCTACATTAAAATTTAGATTTTACTGACATTTAAGTGACAGTGATTTGTGAAATATTATAAAATATTACAATTTGTTTAATTGACTAGAGGCAGATCAGTGCATATAAAGACATTTCATTCAAATGATTCCTCAACTTAAGAACAAATAATTCCAAGTTCTTTACATTTTTCCAATATCTAACTGCCATAGGAATGTACAGAAGTAACACTGACTGCAGTGAAAGCTTTATTAAATGGTACTATTGACTGCCAAATATGCCACTGAAGTGGGGCTCTTGGACAATAACGTCTGAAAGCACCATCCTCCTTTTCCCATAGACTAGAGAGAAGATTAATATAAAAATCCCTCAGCTCCCTTGACAGAAAGCTCACCAGTGTGCCAGGTGGAACAAAACATGTGCAGCCTTGAAAGCGGCAACAAGATCAGGGCAAACCACTGGTGTCACCTTCCAGTGTTCTGCTCATTTCATGCTACCAGTCATTCCTTCCACTTACCAGAGCCACTGCTGAACAAAGCTCAAGCTTCTACTTCATTCAGTGGAAGACAGTTCGAGACTGTAACTTTTTCCAAAATCACACAGGGCAAATGCTGCTTCCCTCCAAGCAGCAAAGTATACAAAATTCTTGAAAGAATTATTCTTCATGCCCCACTCCCCTCCCCTGACATGAATCACTGAAAGAAGAAATTCCATTTGGTAAAGAATATTGAAATGCCTTTTTGCTAGCTAGAAAAATTATCATCTAAGTCACTTAAACTACTTGAACTGTTGTATGCTTTTCAAACACTTTTCCCTCATTCCCTGTTACCTATGCATTCAATACCATTCTCTACTTGCTTATAGTGCTTTAGACCCAGGGACTGCAGTCTTCTTTGCAATGGCCACATAGTAAATATTTTAGGCTTTGCAAGCCAACACACAAAATCAATGAAATATGTAGGCACTTACAAAATCATTTAAATATGTAACCATTTAAAATGTACAAGCATTCTTAGCTCACAGAAAAATAAACAAAAAAAAAAGACCACAATTTGCTGATTCCAGTGCTAGATCATAGTCATATATCCAGATAAAGCAAAGATCATTAGGTTATTAAGTTTAAATGAATGATCTTTTGTACCAAGACTCAGCATCTTCCAATAAGAGCCTGAAGTGCAGGAGTGATCTAATGAATCTCTGTCCTATAAAACTATCTACAGGATAATAGGATAATAGATACTTCTATTACATATATCTTCATTACATATTTCGACACCTATAGAAAAATGTTCTATATCTGTAGAGTTTAATATGGTAGCCACAATACAAGTGGCTATTGAGCATTTAAAATATGTCAAATGTGTCTGAGGAATAAGATTTTTATATTTTATTTCCTTTTAATTATTTTAAATTTATATTTGAATAGTTAAGTACGTTCTCTGCACCAAGTGTTTCCCTACCAGAGTCATAAATTTATACACCAAATACAATCTGATGCTCTTACACATTATCATCACTCCACCTAGATGGCAAATAGGTTTCATGTTACCTGCCAAATCTTGATGAATTGCAGTGGAGGTTCTATGGGGCTGTGTACGCAAAGTCTGAGCTTGGTGGGGATGAGGGCCATGACTTATTAGCCATGCCTGCCATGAGTCAGGAGGAAGGGGGTCACCTTCACACAGTATTCACAGGCCCTTTCACACTTCTCATTGTCATTTTGCTATTGAGAGCATAAAGGTTCTGAGTATAATCTGAATTTCATGTATCTTACTGTACAGAGAATAGCTTGATATCTAGAGTGCAGTTCTCTTGATCACTGTATGTTTGGTTTGCAAATTACTCAGTTCCCATTCTGATTTATTGACTAGTCTCTTGTGAGCTTGGTTACATAAACTCCAACTGGGCAGTAGCATCCATTCTCAGTGAACTGACAAAATCAATTTTCTGACTTGGCAATACTGATAAACAAACCATAGACTATGGTAAATGAACAAAGGTAAATCATGTGTGACCTCTTAGTAGCCAAATAGAAGGCTGGCTTTCTGGGAAGAAAATAACTCTATCAGATACTTCTTTTAGACGTCAACAAAGACTATTTTTGATCAGTTTCATCATTTCCAATTTTAGTACTTTCTTCCTTAAATTTTTCTTCACAAATCTCCTATTGCCAGTCTTAGATAACATATACTTCCATATGTAAGCTCTCATCACCTCCCACTTTGAAGTCTAAAACTAGTGAGAGTGTACTCTGGGTCCACAGTTCTTTCACAGTGTATGAATTCATCATTTTGTCCACATCACTTCTACCTTTCCTTCTTTTGATGCCTGAATCTTTCTTTCCAAAACACACTTCATCATACCCCATTTGTGCCAGCACCATTTCTTTTTAATGTCCACATGCCACCCTAATTGAACCCATGTTTTCTAGTTTTACCTTTCGAACATTTGCCAACCGATTCATCATCAAGGACTCCTCTCGGTCGTCATCATCATCCAAGTCCAACATCGGCATTCCAAAAGGATCAATGATGCTACAGCACCTGGAGCCTTCGTCTCTTGGATCAAAGGGGTCCACAATTATGGGCTCTGTTCCTTTTATTTCACAGCGACAGAAGGGGCAGCCCTGGCCATCTGACTCCTGAACAAATACAAAAAAAATGTGCTGATTGGTCTTTGTTCAAATAAAACAATATTGGGAGGAGCCAAAGTTTTGTAACTCTAAAAAGAAGTTGCAAAAAAGAGTTTTTAGGCTAGTCAGTGGGAAAAGGCCTGTCTTGAAGAGACAGCAGAGTAGAACAGAAAGCCAAACTATGTGATAAATGTCCAGTACATCAAATTTCATTTTTTTTAATTTCCTTTAAAAAAAGTTTGGCCAAAGCAAGGGAGCCTAACATAATTTTCCTGAATGTTCACTTATAATATTAATGCATCACAACTTCAGTCCTGCATAAAACTGGAAATTGAATCATGTCCCTGTTTACCAAAAGGTGCCGGTACTAACTACACATTTTATAAAAAGAGCATTTTGATGAGCGCGGGCTGGGAACCAAAGTGTCACAGGTTCGATTCCCAGCCAGGGTACATTCCTGGGGTGCAGGCCATAACCCCCAGCAACCGCACATTGATGTCTCTCTCTCTCTCTCTCTCTCTCTCTCTCCCTCTCTCTCTCTCTCTCCTCTCTCTCTCTCCCTGCCTTCCCTCCCTAAAAATAAATAAAATCTTAAAAAAAAATAAAAAGAGCATTTTGAAAACAATTTATTATAAATAAAATAATGGTAACAATCCATTTTAAAATCCACTCTGGAAAAGTTCCTGTGCATAGATAGAACTATGACTAAATATTGCCATTTTAATTGTTTCAGTCTTTTAAAATCTTGATTTGAAAGTAGGAAAACATAAAGAAACTCCATATTCAGAAGCCATCATCTGCCCCAATAGCCTGACATCCTGACACAGCCCACGAGGGATATACTACTATGTGAGATGGTTAGTGTCACCCTTCGTCTCTTTTCATACTACAAAAAGATTTGTGCAAATACTTTTACCTCAGAAATTTATTTACAGTAATTATTAAAGATTTTACTCAAAGTTTCCCAATTCTATTTCTCAAATATAACTGCCCTAAGAATTCATAATTGGCAGGAAAATAGGACAAGACTGTTTCTTGCCCTATTGATAATGCTGCCTTACAAAAGACAGATGGTGTATGATATCCACCACTACATTTTTGTTTCTGCATTATGCCCTGACTTTAGTAGTGTGTAATTTAAAAAAACAGCAAAAATCATAAGATCATTTAAAGGTAGAAATGGAATGAATTAGAACCATTTTAAAGGTGAGACAAGGGATGCAAACAGAAGTAACATCTTTAAAGAAACCATTCAGTACTTAACTCAAGACTGCCCCACCCCCTTGGAATGATGGGAAACTGGAGGCTACCAGTCCTGCAGGGGTACTCTGACCAGCAGTTGAATGACATTCTCCCTCTCCTCTCATGGGACAGTTACTGAACAGCCCCTCTGAGGCGGATTCCATAGTAGGCAAATTATTTTTCCCATATGTAACTCAGATTAACAAGGTGAACATCCACATTGCCACCGATGTTGTTAAAATAAAAAGAAAACTGTTTGAATTGGTTAATGAAAGGAAATTGCAACATTCCTTATTTATTTACTGTTAAATAATTTGGGCAAGAATCTTGGAATGGTAAAATAATTGAACTAAAGTGGTGAAACAAAATACAGACATGCTACTACAAAATCCTTTTCTGTTTATTGCCACACATGTTCAGGTGTGGTGGACTTGGAGGCAACTTAATTATTTGGTCCATATTTTACAGATAATAAAATTGAAACTTAATTCTTCTACTTAATTGATATTTTCTAACACAGAACTAAGTCTTTCTCCTATCTTTTGATAGCAAGAACACTAAACTTAAGTGCATATTCAATATATGTTGCCATCTGGGTGAAATCCCCTTATTGTGAAAGTCAAAAGGGATCCATATTGTGTGCCTCTTGTGGAATTTTCTTCCTGATCTGCATAATTTCAAAAAGATAGTTGTCATATATAAGAGCAAGATGTGAAAGAGCTGATGTTCCCAGTGTCTTTACTATACGAAGGATGGAAAGCAATGCTCTGGGGCCTATATCATTCATACATTAAAAGAAAAAAACAACTATTACAGAAAATTTTAAACACACAACAGCAGAAAGTGTAATACTGGGTTGGCCAAAAAGTCTGTTACATTTTTTTCCATAATATAAAGGACACATTTTTCATTTTCACCATTAACTTATTGATTTGCATATTTTGAGTATGCCATCTATTTCGTGCTGTTAGCTTCCAGTGGGCAGAAGCAAGGGGTGCTGCTAAATATCTTCCAGTTCATGAGAGCTCCACAGCAAAGGATTATTTGGCCAAAATGTCAGTAGTACCAAGAAACTTCACAAACCACTTTTGACACAATCAATCAGTCACAGAACTTTCTCCATACACTGCACAAATCTTTTCTTTTGTTTTTGTATTTGTTGCTTTTTACCTTTTTTGAAATAATAAAGCATAATATGCCAAAAATGTTGTGTATCTTCCTTCAGCTTCAATATTAAAATGGCTACACAAAAATTCACTTATTTTGATTTTTTAAATACATGCTCATATGTGAGCTGCCACAATACAATCTAACCAAACTGTTTTGATAAAGGTAAAGATAATTAAGCACTATTAGAGCCATTGTACAGAAAACACATAACAGACTTTTTAGCCAAACTAATAAATTTGCATGTACCTTTACCCAACTTCAACCATTATCAATTCATACCCAATCCTATTAAATCTATACATTTACTTGCTACCTCCATTGCTGGACTATCTGAAGCACACCCTACACATTACATAAACTCATCTGTAAATGTTTTAGTATATATACCTCAGAAATACAAAATCTCTTAAGATATAGTTACAATACAATTATAACTAAAACTGAGTCCACTCAATCTAAAACACTATAGCTGTACTGTTTTTGAGTGCACTGCCTAGAATGTGTGAGCTACTCTATTTGACTACAGATGCTTTTCTCAGAACCTCCAGGGTCAATTTGCATTTTTTTCTTGTTAAGGGGTCTTAGTTTCTGACATATATTTCCTAACAAAAGGTAACTAAAAGGATTAAGTTTGGAAAGGGAAGGAGGTAAAAGGCAATAATAGCATCCTGACGGTATAAGAAAAAGACTGGAAACAGTCTATCACAAAATCCAATTTAGGTTCTACTCCATCTCTCCTCTCTGAAATGCTATACGAATTAGTGATGTGTGTCAGAGTAGCAGTCTTATGAGTATATATCACAAAAGATATCTTCTGTCAGTGTTATCTTTGTTGAGAGTTTATATTACTCACTGGATTAAAAAAACAGCTACAGTAACATCCTTTTTGACTTGCAAACACAGATCACACTGAATGTGTCTTCTTAATGGTATTTACTGTAATATGATTTCACCTATTATTCTTTCTCCGTAAACTGACTACTATCATATGCAAATTAAGTTCAACCATAAATTCTCAAATGCCACCTTGGTACTCTGCCCTGGTTTCTATTAGATGGTTGACTGACAATACATGAAGAATGCCTTATAACTCATCAGCATTGAGCCTCAATAATTAAAATAATGTTTCTGTCAACATATATTTAATGCAAAATCAAGAAGCATATGTTAATGAAAAAGAAAGACCAATAAATATCTCCTTTTCTAGTCTCCAACATATTAACATTCTGAGAATGCTAAGAGGAAGTACTTGGGACTCCACCATTCTAACTGAATAAGTAGATTTCACTTCCTCAAATAAGAAATACTCCCAAAACTAAAGATACAGAAGTTATTAGTAGGTACTATGCTTACCTGAAACTTAACTATGTAATATGTTCATAATAAAATAATTCAGACTTATGCCAGCCCTTAATACTATAATTCAGCAATTTTCAACTAGTTTGCCATGGTACACAGGGGTGCCGCAAGAGGTGTGCTGAAAAATTTTAGTAATTAGTTTGTGTGTCATGAGATTAAAAAAAGGTTGAAAATCACTGTGTAAGTTAATGGTATTAAATATTATATTTAGGTAACCTGAGAACAAATCAACTATGACAGAAAATTAGAAAAAATTTCCAAAAAATGTATTTGCTTTCAGGATGATTATTTGAGGACAAACTTCAATTTATGGTCAAATACTTCATGCCTTCACACATATACAATATACACAGAAGGCCTGAGGGGATACACAGGACTTCAAGAGTATCATTGTAGAGTGCATTTTATATCTCTACTGTGCAGATGTTTTCTGTATCCATCTAATTTACCTTACCTTGCTATATTTCATGCAGATTTAAAGTTACCATAAATCTTTTTTCTAAAACTGGAACAATTAGAAATAAATAAATAAATAGGCATGTACATAGATACATACATACACTGAGAGTAAATTGGGTCCATAGAAAGCATTCTCAGAGCATAATAATTCCCACAGAAACTAAGTAACTTCTTGTAAAGAGAATAAATGAAAGAATGAATGAGGATCATTAATAGTAACCTTAGATCAAATAACCCAGTGTGGGAGAGATCTTTGGTTTTGGTGCTTTTATGATGGGGAAGGAAAAAGACTGGTGAATCTAGGCTTACAGCTTCTAGTTTTAATCTGGGAGACCCATGAAAACAGTGTACCAGAAAAGGAGCACGGACATTCTGAATCAGGACAACTGGGCTGGATTATTACACCCACCAGTTGTGACACTGAAGAAGCTATTTCATCTTATTTGCAGGGTCTGAGAAGAATGTATGTTTCAAAAGGCATCTTAAATATAAAGCAAGACAAATTCAGTCAAAGCTTTCCAGAGACTTCTGGCCAAGATGGAGGTATAGGCAGACACACTGTGCCTCCTCGCACAACTAAAAGAAGGACAACAACAAATTTAAAAACAAAAAACAACCAGAAATGACAGAAAATCAAACTGTATGGAAGTCTGACAACCAAGGAGTTAAAGAAGAAACATTCATCCAGATCAGCAGGAGGGGTGGAGACGGGCATCCAAGGAAGTGGCTGGAGGACCAGGGTGGCAGCTGGCAGACCAGGCAGTCCCACATTCATGTGC